ACAAGAACATTGACTGAAATTGTGCCGCATATGTATTAGAAAACATTAAACATGGCCAATGTTTCAATATATCATCTTAATTAATTCCAACAGCTATATTTTTACAATGGCAGTAAGGGATATTGTTCATACTTTTACTACCTCACTGCAAATATGTAAGCAAGGCAAACATCTATCGGAGGATAATTTCAATTATATCGTACAATTTCTATGTTAATATAGTTTGTCCTCTAGGAATCCCTCAAACAGAATTCCTAACTTTTCTCTGGCAAAACCACAACCACCCCCTTTTCCTTGTGACACTATTTTGTTCCCCACCTCTTGCAATACTCCACTGGAGAAGGATGTGGTCATCATTTCTTTCTTCCTTGGCTAGTCAAAAGGTATATCCATCATATGCACCCAGGTTTTCCTGAAGATACATCCTCTGATTTAGAGGTAAGATGGCAGGGTAAAAAGAGGGATGCTCACTTAGCTCACATATCGTGTTTTGTGAGTAAAACAAGTATTTGAGCTATGCTTTAAAAGGTTCAAATGAGTCTTCTCATGATTATCTTTCCTGATCCCCAACAAAGCTTAACAATTGTCATGCACTTCCGTCACTGAACCCCTGTTTTTGAAGTGAGATTTTGTACTTTTCTAAAAAGTCAGGTCATTTCTCATAAAGCCAGTTAGTCATCTTTCTTGACTTCATTTTCTAAAGTTCAAATGATAGTGACTCCCATAATTGTTATTTATCCGCATTATTTTTTTTGAGGAATGTGAAAGGTGATTTCCAAGCTTTGACTAACCTATGCCTGCACTGCTCATATTTCCAGATACAATAGCAATAAGAGAGGTTTCTTCTACTATTTTCTATGTAAGATGAAAACAAATTGAATATCTGTTGATAGACCACACTGAAATTTCACTGCAGAGCACAGAGCTAGAACCAGGCAGCACAACTATCAGCACAAGATAGTTTGGACAGGAAAAAAAAAAAAAAAACAAGCAACCAACCAAAACCACTCTAGGTAAACACAAATATCTCCACAGACAAAATTTTCAGAATGTTGCAACAAAGCCTGAAATACAAGCAATGAATAAATGCTTGTTGAACGGATGTACAAATGAATGGACTTTTTGTTTTGTTCTGTTTTATTTTTTAAAAATAATCATTCTGATTGGTGTTAGATGGTATCTCATTGTGGTTTTGATTTGCAAAAGACAGTGTGAGATGTCCTTCCTCAAAGACCTAAAGACAGAAATATCATTTAACTTAGCAATTCCATTACTGGATATATACCCAAAGGAATATATATCATTCTATTTTAAAGACACATGCAAATGTATGTTCATTACAGTACTATTCACAATGTTATGTTGGGGTTCAGGGGAGCCCTCAGTTCCCCTGAGAGGACATTTTTCTAGGTTCTGGGTCTATCACTTCCCAGAATGGGAAAGGAGACCATGGCACAATGCATAGTAAATGCTGGACTCAAAAGTGTTTGTAGACAGTGATTTATTTAGGTAGACAGAAAGAGAGAAAGAAACAGCTAGCTCTCACACTGAGTGAGAAGGTTTCTAGAAGGATAAAAACCAGAGAAGGAAAGCTCCTTTCACACCGACTGAGAGAATCCAGAAAGATGGAATCCAGGAGAGGAAAAACAGCTTCCACACTGGATGGAAGGGAAACCCAGAGGGGAAATCCAGGAGGGGAAAGAGAGCTCCCACTATGTAGGAGGGGATTCCAGAGAGCTGGAAATCCAGTGTGGGTGAAGGAGCAGGGGAATTTATCCTGGGAGAAATTCTTACCTCCCCAAGTTCCTCTGGCCAATGAAAGGAGTTCCTTTAAACTTCCGCTGGGGTGACTGACTCTTAGTTTCTTCCTGCGCCCGTGAAATTTAAACATGAACAATTAAATCTCTCAGATGGAGAGAGATTGGAGGGAGGGAGTCATGGCACTGGAAAGTTCTTGCCCTTAAAACCATGCCCCCTTATGGACCCGGAAAGAGAACACCTTCCCTCAACAACAGCAAAGACTTATAAAATGAACCTAAATGCCCATCAATGATAGACTGGATAAAGAAACTGTGGTATGTCTACACCATGGAATACTATACAGTCATAAAAAATAATGAGATCTTGTCCTTTGCAGAGACATGGATCTGGAGACCATTATCCTTAGAAAATTAACAGAAATAGAAAGTTCAACACTACCTGTTTTCACCTCTGAGTGGCAGTAAATGATAAGAACCCATAGTCACATAGAGGAAAATGATACATACTGTAGCCTTTCAGAGGGCAGAGGATGAGAGGAGGGAGAGGATTGGGAAAAACAACTAACGGGTACTAGGTTTTATACCTGCATAATGAAATAATCTGTACAGTAGACCCCCAGGACACAAGTTTACCTATATAACAAACCTGCACTTGTACCCTCAAACTGTTAATAAAAGGTAAAAATGTAAATAAATTAAAAAATTAAATTAAAAACTTCAATAGCTAACAGAGAATAGGAAGATATTTGTCAACCAGTACAAAGTTTCAGTTAAACAGGAGGAATAAATTCTGAGGTTCTATTGCACAGCAAGATGAATAAAGTCAATAATAATGTATCATATATTCCAAAAGAGCTAAAAGAGAAGATTTTACATGTTCGCACCACAAGCTTAAAAGTGATATGCCAAAATTCTGGAAATAATTAAAGAAAAGAGAAAAAATCCAAAAATAAATAAATAAACTAGAAATAACACAATAGAGAATAAACACAACAGATGATGGCTTAGGTAAAAGATGAAATGGGAATAACTTTAAAAATCAAGAAGTAACGAAGGAAAAGAAAAAAGGATTCAGGATAAAGCAAAAACTTTGAAGATAGGCAAAAAAGTTTGAGCATATGGATAAGAGCAGATGAAAGCCAAAGTAAAGAAACAGAACAATTACTAAATCCAGTAATCCCAGAATATTTTCTTGAAGTAAAGGATTTTAAAATTGCATATTGACATCGTACACATCAAAGAATCTCAACCCATAACAACTAACACGAAGACATATTTCAGTAAAGTTACGTGATGTTTCTTATAAAAGAAAGAAGGAACGAAAAGAATCTTTGGGCACCTAGAAAATACAGAGCATATGACTTATAAAGAAAAGAAAATTATATTATCATCAGACTTTTAAACTGTAATATTTTATGCCAGAAGAAAATGCAATAACACAGTAAGATATCCAAGAAAAGGCAAAGCAAGTGTGTGCCAAGGATTTCATTTTTTCATCCAACCAAACAGACTTTCAAGTTCAAAGGACAAAGGCAAACTCTTATGAGTATGCAAGAAGTATTGGAATGTTGTTCTGATGAGCCCTTCCTAAGGAATCTATAAGCAAACAGCCTTTGTTCAACCAAGACATTGATGTAAGTACTGAAAGTACATAAACATATAGTTGCTTGTGGCACTAAGACTAAATAAAGGCCAAAGGGGAGAGAAAATGGTGTGAAATGGCTGTATACTCAATGTAGGTATAGAACAACCTTAAGAAACAGAAAGAATAGTGGGAACAAAAGCACTAAACGCTGATGGTTTTAGAAATCAAATTAATGGTCATATTAGTAGTGGTACATTGAGACTATTGAATGTGCAGTATTCAATAAAATAAATGAGCAATGATAAGATTTTCTATCACTGCCCATGTCCTTGAGAACCAGTATTTTCAGTAAGAAATAAAGGAGACACAGATGCAATAAAAAAAAAGAGGTGAAAGAAATGCCCTATAGTTTTTAATTTGAGTAGGAAACATCAATCTGAACTTAGGGTAGATGGTCATCAGTGCACGGGGGAAAAATATGAGTGAGGGATATAAAATGAAGAGAGGATTACTATATTAAATAGAGACACCTAGAAAGATGACCCTTAAAGAGAGTTGCATGGTGTGAGGATGTGAGCCCTGTCATATCTGGGCAGAGCAGTCTCAGATGGAGAGATCCACAGATAAACAAACCATCCTGAAGTGCAATGTTGGCATATTTGTCCTGGTAATTTCTATTTCCTTTTAGTGTGCTAGAAAATAGTGCCAAATTTTTAAAAATCAGGTTGTATTAGTAAATCAAGACCTTAAATTCATAAGTATAAAACTTTAGAATTTACATGGAAAAGATTCATTCTCATAAAGTGATTTATAAGATACATAGGAACATCTGCCCAGAGAGTTATGAAAACATTTTCTCCTCATTCTTTCTATTGTTCCCTATATTCTAGAAGGAGAGTTCTAAGAAGGATCCCAGTCTTTGCTACCTCCCTTGGTAGACAGTGGATATTAACAGAAATAATGTGAAGCAAATACAATGATGAACTCTGGAGGCAGGGTCCCACTTGTGCCACCTATCATTTTTACGACCATTGTCAGAATGCCTGCCTTCACTGTACCTCAATTTCCTCATCTATGCGCTACTGAAAAATAATAGCATTTGCCTCATAGAGTTCTTATAAGGACCAAATGAAATACCACATGTAAAGAACTTAGAATAGCATTTGGCTTATATAAGACCTCAATAAATATTATCTATTTGTATTATAGTTTATGAATCATCACTGGATAAAGAACTTTCTATCTCAATGTGATGTGAGCTAGAAAATGAAAGAATGAAAGATCACATCCCAGTTCTAAAATGTACTAGCCATGTTCTTCAGTCAAGCTCCTTAAACTTGCTGAAATTCCTTCCTTCACTTACAAAGTAGAGATAACAACTACATTCCTAAAACTAATATGAAGTTTGGTAAATTTTAGTTGCATCTGGATACTTGTCTCATCTCTTAATATGTATCACCATAATGCTGATACTAAATATTAAATACACACATACATACACACACAATATCCATCATAAAAACAACTATTAAATACACACATGCATACACACACAATATCCATCATAAAAACAAATATTAAGCTATCCATCCTTCTGCATTCGTGAAAAACAGTAGATGGTATGTACTTTTTTGCCAAAAATTAAAATTCCAAGAGTGTTGACTTGGCAGTACATATTGGAATAAAAATCAGAACAACTTTGTGAAGATTAGCATGATCCTGCACAAGGATGACATGCAAATACATCAAGTGTTCTCTGTTTTTAAAACTCATTGAAGTGTACACTTACAATGGAGAATTTTTATTGTGGAACTTATTACTCAACAGATGTGTTTTCAAAATGTGTAAATTACTAGATCCTGAGAAAAACTTTTCTTTTTATTGCTTTTCCAAACTAAGGACTTTTCCCTAGGTCTGTTACTTACTCCCTAAAATCCCCAAAGTTTTTCAAAGATGCTATGCATATAATCATGACATGTATTTTTCTTTAAGAATACACTCTGGGTAAGATAAACAGTGAATATCTGTGTCTAATTAGATGTGCAGTCTTCTACATGCCAGAGCATCAAAGATACCATCTTTAGTGGCTGCTTGGTTGATAAGATACAAGGCGAGTTGGAAATCTTTCTTTTCTATTGCCTTCCTGAGCTGCATATAAACAGGTAGGCTAGATTCCAACTTCCATCTTTCTTATTCATATAAAGAAGTTAAAATAATAATAACTTACACTTTAAGGTTCACCCAACCAAGATTATTTGTTATCTTTTAAACCTTACTGCCATCATTTAAAAAGCGAGCACCTGGGCACATTTTCATGAAGAAATAAATTAAGTAAAAAGCTCTGAAACCAATTTGTTCAACTTAGCAAAGGCAGTTCTTATTTTGTACTGTTATTTGAGTTACCATGGATTAGTTAAATCACACTAGTCTTCCAACAATATGGTTCAAATTTCAGTTACCAGGGTATGTTAACTGTGAGTTACTGCAAAGAACAGTTTGCTGCTACCTCGTCAATTAACATGACTATATAAATAGAAAGTGCACATCGTGATCAGTGACAAGCCATATCACTTCTTTCAAAGTCTATTAGTGTCTGGTAACTGTACATTTGTTACTCACACATAGACAACAAAACATGTAGTTGTTGCGCCTCCAGATACCTGGTGGTATAGTCATGCTTTAGGCAGAATAATTTAATTTTTAAAATATCACTACTGATAAATAATACTCCAGTTGATTCTTCTGGGTATGCAAATGAAAATTTAAAACTATGTTTTTTTACCACTGAACGATTTCATTCATCTGGCTGCTAGACTAATAAGTTATTTCAACTTTTCAAAAGGACATTCTCTTAGATGGATTTTTTAGACAGGCTACTGATGCTACCACTGAAGAACATGCCATTTCTTTAGCTGAGTTTGGGAAGAAATATAATATCATACAACTGAGAATATCCAAACATCATGGCAAGAAGTTAAATGCATCAGCATGGCAGAAACTGTATGGCTTTGTGCAAATAGCTATAGGATTGGAATTGTCTGTAAAGAGGGATGAATGAAATAGCTGACTGTGGAATGTTGACAATGATGCCTTCAGAGACACTCCAGGTACACAGTCAGAGGAACTTACTGACAGGAAATCTACCAGAATAAGAAGTGTCACTGGCAAAGAAACTCCATATTAAAGAAACTCTCTAGATATCTCATGACATTGATAATGCAAAAGATGAAGCCTTAAAACCTGATGTGAACTTAGAAAAGCATATAAAAAATTATCAGGCCATAGATAGAAATGCTCACTTCATCTCAAAATTCACATGACACAAAGAAGGCCAACACTGGTAAACTCTCCTTGACAATATTTTTTTTTACAAAGAAACAAAACACTTTAATGTTCTATGCTTCTAATTTTTAAATTACATTGCACTAAATCAATATGAGTTTCAACATTCTGTTCATTTTTCTGCATGTTTATAAGCAAATGAGAGTTTTCCATATTTTTGCAAAAAAAAACTTATAAAGGTTATGGAACAATATTTTTCCTCTAATTATTAAGATCACCTTTCATGGTTTTAGCTTTCAAAATTATATTTTATGGCCCCTCATTACTGTGTGCGAAGTGAGGAATATCTGTGTATTCTTCAAGTACTTGGTATTTAGAAACAGAGATTTATATTCAGGACTGATATCTACTTGGAGCTAAGTTAAGTGTCATCAAGATATTGAGATATTGGAGCCTTTTCATCAATTTTGGAAGTCTAGAAAAATAATTATTAGAGAAGTATTACCTAACACGGAAATATGTTCTGCTGAAGGAACCCTTGATCTTTCACCAAAACTCTTACTCTGAATTTCACCACAGAGGGTTAACTAAATAAGCTTTCCCAGATATCATTACAGGGCATTTGTTATGCACTTTGTGCTGACTTCCACACTGCAAATTTAATTAGGACCTTGCTTTTTTGTTCTTCTCTATCCAGTGGTTCTAATTTAGCTACCATAAAGTGTTAGTGTGAATTAATACTGTTTCTAAAGACTATTTACTTGCTAGGTTTATTCCTACTTAGTTAATTGAGAACAATCCTCTCCAGGAACATTTCATATTTCTTTGATATTTAAATTCTAAAATGTTCTGATAAAAATGATGAGTAGATGTGTTCCTACTTCACAAGAACAAAAAAGTTGGATTAGCAAGAGTTTAAATGAAATCAGGAGGCTTTTTAAATACATTAAAGGAAGAATTTGAAAACAGTATTTAAACTTTGGAGAAAGTTATGAAATAAATATCTCTGAAAACGTTTAAAGTTTCTGAGAAGACTTTTATTTGTTGATCAATGAGTTTGTAAACACCTGCTCAGTATCAAGTATCATTTAGAAATTTCTCTGGGTATTAAGTTCTCACTTCTAAAAACTAATGGGTACTTCAAATGCAATAAATTTAAGGTAGAACTAGCAATATGATTTTAAATTTTAATTGCCTTTTACATTTCGAGCATTCTGGTTTTATTTCCTCACATTAACTAAAAATAGTTTGCTCATTTCCATGGCTAAATGTGGAGACCACTAGGATTAACAAGAACATATTCCCATATGTTCTAAGGGGAGGAAAAATCACTTCTTTAATCTCCTTCAGCCACTTAAACCTGTGTTTCGTGCTTGACCAGAGTAGGGCCTGACTCTTCAAACTCTATGGATCTACAACTGTTACTAACACAAACAAGTTAGAATGATAATCCAAAGTGGAAAATAATTAGTACTGTTACTGGTGTGTGTGTGTGTGTGTGTGTGTGTGTGTGTGTGTTTGAGGGGTAGGACTTCAAACAACTGATTATGAATTGAATTCATCAGTATTATGATGTTACCATGTTGATTTTTGTTGCTGCTCTTTTTGTGAGGTGGTATCACATAATTTGTTGGAAACTGTTTTCTTTAGTGATACTGAAATAAATTGATGAAAATTTTAAAAAATCTAAACAAATATATGTGGCTTTGGCTCCAAACAGAACATGAAAATTATGTATGTGTTCTTAAACAAACACACAACCTGAACTGATTTAGTTTATTGGTTCTTTTACTTTCAAACTCAGTGCTCATACAAATGTTTTTCAGGTTCCAAACTCAAGATGCAAGAATTTTTTTTTTTATTATCTGCCAACATCCAAAATAAGCTGAGACAATTATTTTTAAAATTAATATCTGTACCATGATATCAGCTACAATTTTAATCAATGTCCACATGAACTTATCTGAACTACCTTGAATCAAAAATGATCTGTAAATATTTGCCATTGGTGAAGTAATAAGAAACAGTACAACACCATTTATTTGTCATTTTATTTAAATTAAATAAGTAAACTGATTATTTGATTTTATGTACATTAGAATCACTAGTGGCACAACAGATGTACTGAATGAAAATCTCTAGAAGCAGGATCTGGGCATAGATACTTTGACAAAACTCCACAGAGTTGATTCTGATGTGTGGCAAAACTTGAGAACTTCTGTTCAAGTGTCTAACATTCCAAAAACATTAGACAGAATAAAAATAAAGTAAATGACAAATGCTCACCCTCAAGAAGTTTAGAATTTTACTGGAGAAGCAGATTTTAAAACATAAAAGTTTAATAGGCCATATAAGTCAATATAAATATGCTATATTCACTCACTAAGAGATAAATTTTAAAGCCATCACAAATAACACTTGAAATAAATTTCTTCATAATCATTTGTTTTTGATAACTTTTTCTTGATTATTAAGAAATGATCATTATTGAATTATGTAAATAGACTAAAAAATAAACAAATTAATTACACTGGAAATAAAGAATGTCAGTGTGTTGTCCTTCAGTTCAAGATTTCTAGAAATATATTTGCCTCAACATCATATTATTATATCAAGAAATATGGTAGTATTAATCAGTTTTTAAAATCATGGTTTTTAAACACTGCATTTATCCATCATGGGGAAGAAACTATTTATTGAACTTTTTCATAGTGGTACTCATTTATATTTCTAAGCTTTAGTATTTTAAATAACACTATAATAAATTTTATGAATATTTTTACATATCTGATTATTTCCTCATAATACATTTGAATGGATTGAATCAAATAATATATGCTATACATTGTCATTTGTCTTCTAATTATTTTGCCAATTTACACTCACATTAGCAGTGTTTGAGAATGTCAATATTGGTTACCTTTTGTATATTACTGACAATGTGAAAGAAGAAAATGTTATTTAATTGATAATTTAGTTTGCATTTCTTTTCTGCTGATGATTATTAATCCCTTTTGTATGAATTTCTTGGCTAAAAGTATTCCTATAGTCATTAGAAAAAGTACATTTAAAGAAAAATGTTAAAGAAAAGCTATCAAGATTACAGAGTTTCAAGTTTGGCAAAGCTTAGAACACAGCTGATATGCATAGATTTGTTTCTCTGAATCAAAATCAAATAAAACATAAAATTTTAAGTCATATGTTTAGTATTTGGCATGTTAAAATAAATTCATACATTAATTCTCCTAAAACATTAAAAGTCTCTTCAATTGGCTAAAGAGACATCTCAGAGTTTTGAATTTTATGTGACACCTACACAGAACATTTTAATTAGTCAAGGCTAAGTGACACAGAAACATATGGAACTGGCAGTAATCTGGTTGCAGAATGATTGAGCAGTTGTGGGTGAAACAAGTTAAAGAGGATAATCAACATTAATGTTAATTTTTTTAAGCATTAATGGCTCCTTAGTTCAAAGCTTC